GGGGTGGGGGTGGGGGGGTGTGTGTGTGTGTGTGGTACCATCGTGCCAACATATGCCAGGGGGATTTAGCCTGCCAGTCTTGGCCCAGGCGTGTGTGTGTTGCCATGCTGCTGTTTGCAGAGATAAGGGAGCGTTTCCCTGGTTTCTCCCCTCCTCCCCTCACCCTCTGTCTTTCTGCTTCCATTGTGCATTGTGCCTGTTCTTTTCACAACTTGGTGGAAACACACCACTTATCCTCCACTCCATAATGGAGAATTGTTTTTTGGTGCAACCACATTTCATCCAGCCTGCAAAAACCTTGCTCATTATAACTATTCTAGGTTTGTCATTTACATGCATAAAGAGTACAACAAATAATAATTGGACTCTTGTAATTATAAAAAAACCCACTTGTAAGCATAAAGTTTAGGTACTGCGTCAGGGGTCTCCATATATTTCTCTCAAGGTTATATCAATTAAATGGAGATCAATTAAGACCATGGGGGAGAATATTGGTAGCATTTTAACTGGAAGGCTGTGAAGAGAACAGTATGTCAGGAATAGGAGCACTTAAAGGAGTACTCCGCTGATGTAGCATTGCACACATGACGTTGTTGACTCACAATGGACAGTTTTTAAAAAGGACTAAAGTGGATAGACGAGAGCCATAAATATATGCTAGCAACAGCTGATTTAGCATGGAGCACAAACAGAGATGAGCAGTGGGCTACGGACTGTCCTGTGCAATTCCCTCTTCATTTTCAAACTTGATGTTTTAAGAGCCAACACTGAGGCAAAAAGTGATCAGACTTCCCACAGCTCCCTCTGGAGTCACATTCAAATGGTTGATACAAATAAAATCATATTAGGAATGGTCATATTTGAAGTGAAGTAATGCATGACCATCTGGATGAACATTATAGTAATTTCCAGATTTCCATGGCAAGAAAACAGATCGCAGCAATCAGTCATTCCTGTTTGGATCAATCATTTTTCGTGCATTTTATTTCATTGACTGCTCATTCAAATGTGTTGATTTATTCCGAACCTGGACATACTTTGAGGGTATCGAATTTGCAGTTGAACATGTGAACTAAAGAAAACCATAAGTAGAATTCAACCAGATAACTCGGTGTGCACATAAACATTTTGGGTATTCGTTTTTATCTGCGGCTGACAGCTTTTACAATCTGATTACATCACAAATGACTCATAATTTTATTTCAGCCCTTCCCTTTTTTCTTTTTCCCTCTTCGGTTAAAAATGGCGCACCAAAGCAGATTGAACATGGACCAACAGTTTAGTTCTGGTATCAGTGATGTGTGTGTTTGTGCCGCAGTGAGCTGGATATCTGGATTCCGCAGCCGTTCCACGCCGAGGTCCCGGCTGACTGGTGGGACAGCGAGGCCGACAAATCCCTGCTGCTCGGAGTCTTCAAACACGGTGAGAAACACACACAACCACATCCACGTCTCCCAACAGCAGCCATACATGGCGAATACAAAATGAACAACACACACACACACACACACATCCCTCATCCCATTAAATCTCACTTTTAGTAGTGCATTATCATGAATGTTATGTCATCATTCTTATCCTCATATCCTACTGGTTGACCTTAATAAACCCATCTGATATGAAGAGTCACACATCTGCTACACTCTGCACTCTCCTCCCTTACTCTTCATAATCGTTCCATAAACTACACAACAATGCAACTGTTAAAAGCCAAATCTAAATCTCTGCATCTTAGGAGCATGTTGGGAAACACACTGACACAGCGGCACATCGTTTGAGACACCTGCAGCGCAAACATCAGAGAGAGGAAGAAGGGAAGAGCAGCCAGTGGGAGTGGGGAACAGATGACCAGGAGAAAGGTGGAAACGTGTGTGTGTGTGCTGTTTCAGAGAGGAGACTCCCTCTTGAAGGTGCCGCCACAGATCACAGGACAGTACAGAGGAGGATCAACAGCTGGAGTTTTGGTTTGCTTGCTTGTTGTTTGGAGACTTTCTGTCTGAAGCCAGCCTGGAATGCCTATAACATCTAATGTGAGAAAAACTGTGTTTTGCACACTGGGACTGAGCAAAGGAGGACTCCTACTGGCTTTTTATGTTCTGCAAAGAAATGGAGGAAATTACTTATGGTCCCACTGCAGTAACTGCTCCAAAAGTAAGATCCACCTTTTTTAATGGTGCTGCTGACAAATCGACTGTATTGACTGTTGCGACTGTCCTGGCGCGTAACATCTACCATATTGGTGGCACAGTGGCAGTACCACAAAAATGCAGGCTAACACAGATTGGTAAGTCTATGTACATGTGTATGTGTGTGTGTTTGCGTGTGTGTGTTTGGTTGTGTGATAGACTATGATAGTGTTAGTGTGTTGAAGGAGAAAAACAAACACAAAAATAAACAACATTAGTAAGTCTTTTTTTAGTGTCTAAACACTTGAATGGATATATCTTGCGAAACAAACACAAACACATCTTGTCATTTTTAATATGTGTCTAAAAAAACATTTTATATTGAACATATTGCTGGCTCGTGCTGCTTTTTATAGCACAGGAAGAGAGAAGGAGCTCATGTTTATGTATCAGAATATCCAGAGGAGGATCAAACTGCTCACTTTCTGCTGCCGTGACTTCAGACCTTTAAAGCTTGTTTTAATGAGATGATGCTCAATACATGCAACACAAATATATTTGTGTGTGGATTTCTGTGCAGTTTGCCACTCCTCATAGCAATAATTATGTATAAATGTCATTAATATTTGTCCTGTGGACAGTCAGTCAACCAAAACTGAATCATATCTTGATTAAACTTCGGATCACAAAACAAACCTCCCGGTCATGAGAGCTAACAGAGCAGTGAGCGAAGAATTGCGAGGCCATGCCTCCATTCGGTTTTATTTTGGTTTGATTGCTGTGCTTGTTGTGTTTCATTAACAGTCAGACTGGCTTGGATGGTTCAGGTTGTTGTGCCTTATGTCACATGAATAGTGCATGAAGGAGCAGGCAGGTGCTACTGAATATGAATGTATGTATTTATGAATATTTTATGATACATATTTGGACTGTGGTCCATTCGAGTTCTCACCCTCTGACCAAATCTTAACAGAGATCTCATGCAGAGCTGAAACTGAAATATTTTGCCTAACTGATAACAAAGTGATAGAAATTACGCAAGCACGAATGGCCAGGAAGCACCCTAATCATATTGAGTTTAAAATGACAGTGAAAATAATGAATGCAAGGTGCTGTGGATGCTGTAGTTTTGCGTGACAGATTGATCGCTGTATGGATCTTACAAGAGAGGATGGGCTTTGTTCTTCAGGTTATCACAGAGGCGTCTTCATCACCTACCCCATTAAAATATGTTTGAATTGCCTCGGCCTCTGTGGCAAGACAAGGCTTTGATCTGCTCTTTCTGCTCTGCACCAACAGAGATGATGAGTTCTGGCAAATGCTCAAACATGCATGTGCATAAAAAACAAACACACAGCAGTGAATGCAAAAAACCCTCAAAAGTAGAGATGGAGACATGGCAAAGCAAAGATAGTGTAGCTACAGATGCAAATCATTTAGATTGTACATACATTTCAGTTTAATACATTCAATTAGATTTCCCATAAGAAGTGAAATTGTTTAAACTAAAATGCAAATTCTCATACTCATATTGATTTGAACATTAATGCTTGAGTATAAACGAGACCAGAGATTGGAGTGGAGATGCGAAGGGCACTGATCCATTGATTCACAATCACTGCTCTTTTGAGAACCACTTACTTCAGTTTCATATTTGATTAGGAGGCAGCTTCTCTCTCTTGGACAGATATTAATCTTGTTACCTCTTCTTAAGCTTAGCAATTGTCATCTTAACTAGGTTTGAGGTTTGACTCTTCATGGTCCTTATCATTGCTGATGGAGAGTAAAGTGACTGGAGATTGCCAGCAGAAAATTCAAGGTCTTACAGGGGTTGATAGACAACTGAAGAAAAAAATGTAAAGAGAACCATCAATCCCTTTTTGTAAAATGTGTTTCAACTAAAACAAACTACCTGCACATGCCAGTCCTCTATTTCTGAAGACCTGCCTCATGTTGAGCTGGATGAAGGAAAACAAATCTGTATTCCATTTTAGCTTCTTCTTGCAAAAATAAATGTCTGACTGCCTCTCGGAAAATACCCTCTTACATATTTATACTTTTTGGGAATTGTGTGAGAATAGCCATGTACTCTCTAGTGGTGGTGAGTAGCATTTCTTCACTTTGGGCCTGATTTATGATGTTACATATCTAAGCACTGGCAAAGTGTTGCTGGAAGCTCGTCTAGTCTGAGTCACAGGTTTTGTAGCCTGAAACAGTGTGAGAATAACAATCCCAGAAGAATAGGCCTGTTTACTGGCGCAGAGACTGCGGTTGAGATCAATACCTCACTATTGAATTCCATAGTTAATGAATCTGTACATTTCAGAAGTGGCTCTACGAGATAAATAATGCAAAACTGTCTTATTTTCTTGTTTCTGATGAATTATATTCCTCGAGTCTGTGTGTGTCTTCACTTTTCCATATTATTTTCTGCAACTTCGATGAGTTGTCACAGCTCTGCTCGTTGCTTTCTCATAAATTTTGAGCCCATGACAGTTTGTATTGATTACTACAATGGGATAAATCATCAAATTGTCAGACATCTTAATAAAAAAAGTGAATTTAAATACAGCAAATAGACTCTCTAATACTATATGTGGGACATTAGCTTCACTTTTTTATGATGTGGATAATTTATATATATATATATATATATATATATATATATATATAATGTTCTTTTTTTTGCTCATTGTCATCCAAAAGAACCAGAGAAAACATCTGTGTTTATTGTAAATCATAATTAGAAGTTTAACAGGACCCTATCCCTAGGAGCTATAGAGGGTCAACACAATGGGAGTCCCTCTGGAGTTTGTAGCAAACATTGTGAGACTCACCTAAATTAGACTGTGAATATAAGTCTGCCATTAGCCACACATTTCTTTGGCTAGCTTTACTACTTTTAAATATTGGACTTTTTTTAGTAGGTTGACATTGACATGACTCCAAAGACATCTTAATATTGCTTTATGTCTGCTGGATGTGTAAACAGACAGAATTTCATGTTAGATATTGATTATATATCAATGTTGTGTTTATTCCTTGTAAGGCTGCCTCCTAGTGGCAAAAAGGTACTTAAGCGGACAAATATTCCAATACATAGGGGATAGTTCAGAATTTTTGTTTCTCTGTTTTATTTGACAGTAGTGGCTTTACAAATTCCTAAATCTTGCCTAAATAGACCTTACTAATCTTACCTGATAGACCGTACCACCTTACTATTGCTAGCTTATTTGCTCTGCTTGTTTATCTCCCCAAATACTCTGTTTTCAACAAGGCAGGTTGTGTAATCATCATGCACCTAGGGAGATAACACACAGGCCTCAGGCTCATGAGTTCATGCTTGTGTGGGCTTAATTCTGTCCCTGAATAAAGCATCTACCGCTGAAAGAAGTCATTGAATATTGAGAGCAAGATTTCTGTCATTTCTAAGCCCGTCCTCAGGACAGAGCGCCTGTTGACAAGCACTCTGCTCAGCATGTGTTCGGTTGAGTATGCTTAAATATGTGTTTTGGATCCATTAGAGGTTTGACTTTGCCTTTCTTTGAAGATAATCACCCATGCTGTCTCGTATAATGCATTATAATAATTGTGTGAATGTGTGTGCTTCTCTCCTACAACTTTCGAACATTTTGTTATTTCTCATAATTATTTCCTGAGGCTTCTGGCCTGTTACAGTTTGTAGTTTTAACCCTGAAGAAGGTTTCCCTCGTCAGGTTTTCTATGGTTGTTTTCTTACATGGATTGAATTGTATACATCTGTCAATGCAGGCATTTTTTTATTTAGTCACCAACCCATCATTTTAACCAGGATTTATAAGGATTATCTAAACTATATAATCTAGTCATTGGGTTTAGGACTAAGATTCGGTACCATTTAATGATGGGGACAAGGACTTCTAGTCAAATATTTTCAGATACCATCTTTGCTGCTTCTTCACAATGAGGGATTAAAGTTCAAAGTGTTGTGTTATTGCACATATTAAGTTATCAACGGCTATTTATCCATCATCTTCCTTAGTTGTGAGCAGTGGTGTTGCCTGGTATTTTGTATTAGATCAGTTTAGAATCTGGAATTTATTAAAGTGGTTAATAATCTAAATTAAAAATAATTGGGATAAAAAAAAGAAAATGCACAACCATTAATATTCAGCACCAGCAAATTATTTTAGCATGTATGTGTTTGCCTTTTGGATTATTCCTCATGCAAGGAAAATCTGTCCTTTACAGCATCTGGCCGACTGAAATGTCATTAAGAATGATGATGCACTCTTAGCAACTTGTTCCCCTTCAATCCATCCATCCATCCATCTATTTTTATCAGCTTATCCTGGGCCGGGTCATTGGGGCAACAAGCAAAGCAGAGTACAAAAGATGTCCATCTCTCCAGCAATCATTTTCCAGCTGTTCCTGGGGAACCCCAGGGCTTTGCCAGGCAAAAAAAAAAAAATCATCTCTCTAGTAATCCTTGCTAACAATATTGTCTTTGAGCACTTAATTTACTGTTAAGACAAAATATCAGCGATATACTGTATGTGTACTTATGCGTGTAAACATATATTAAGACTAATTGCATGCATAAAAAACATGTGCCACCCACACACACACACACACACACACACACACACACACACACACACGCGCACGCACGCACGCACACGCACGCACGCATGTACTTACACACACCATACACACACATGCACACACTCTACTAATGAGGATGGAAATCCCGCCGTCTCTTTGCTGTCAGCTTCGTCTGTTCGCATGCCACCAGCTGTCTCAAAAAGTAAAAAGTTTGAAGTTGTGTCTTTTATCCTCTCTGAGCTGGACAATGCCAGGCAGTCAGGCAATCAAACACAAACTCACTTTACCCATCATTTCAGTCCCTATTTTTTCTTCTTGAGAACACTTCGCCAACATCTTCTCTTTCTGTCTTGTGCTAGTTCAAAAATAAACCTTTAGACAAGGAAAGTGTTGAGTATATGACACACGCTATAAATTGTAGCAAAACAATGTATTGCAGGAGTGTGAGCAGAAGGTGCACTTAATGTGAAACTGTTTGAAATCAGTATGTTGTAATGTTGGTGTTTAAATTGATGGGGCAAAAATGTTAACAGTCAAAACAGTCAATATGTAGCATTCAGTAGAACTAACACCACACTTTCAAAAGAAAACAAAGCAGAGCTTTTCTCTTAAATATAAAAATTTACTTTTTCAATTCAAACTTGAATACATTTAACCAAAAACCAACCAAATGCTGTTATTGGTTGCTTTGGTAAACCGGTATTTTCACATCGCCACTGAATACTTTAATATACTCCAGTCGTAGCTATCACCTGCATCTGCATAATGTGGATGTTTAATCTTGAACAGTCTAAAGACCTGCTGTGAAACTTCGAACAGAGAGACACACATCAGCTTTGTCTCTCTCTATGAGATCTCTCTCTTTCTCCCATCTCTCCGTTGCTTTCAGCCGCAGGTCAGTTTGAAACAGAAAAGCCTCCCTGTGTGTCCACACAGTAGCATCTCTGTTGCAGTTCAGACCCACATCAGCTGCTGGCTGCTTCACTAATTCTGCGACACTCTGATACTTTGCCTTACTTCTTCCTGAGAAAATCCAAGTAAAGCCAGACACCTGTTTCCTTTATATCTTAAGATAGTGCTTCTCTGAGCTTGTTGTCTGTGCTTTCTCCTGCAGTGGAGCGATGCATGGGCGTGATGCAGTCGGGGACGCAGATGGTGAAGCTGAAGGCAGGATCCAAAGGGCTGGTGAGACTCTTCTACCTGGATGATCATCGCTCCTGCATCCGCTGGAGGCCCTCACGCAAGAGTGAGAAGGCCAAGAGTGAGTATGCATGGGCACACTCACACTTACAAACTCGGTGGGAGACGTTATGGTGTTGCATCATGGGAATGAAGGTTGCAGTACTTTTGGAGCTTGACCATTACAAGGGACTGGGTATCAGGAAATCTCAGTGTTTGATGTGCAGTTTTGATTTTAGTATTGTTTTTTAAAAATGTGTTCCCTAACTATTCTTAATCTATGTATTTTTGTTTTTATTATTTTCTATGTGTTTTACTCTGTGGGTTAATGTTTATATGCTGTGGTTTAGTTTGCCTGCTCGTATTTTTATGAGAAGGCACTTTGTAACTATGTTTGAATGGTGCTATAAATAAAGTGTATTATTATTATTATTATTTATGGAAGAGGAAATTCTAAATTCCTGGAGTATCTCCACTCTGCAAAAAACGGTATAAGGACAAGAACCACCAGCATTCAGCCACAAAACCCCAGGTTAGGCAGACGTATTTGGAAGAGAAACTGAAGGTGAAATTATAAAAATTAATATCAAAATCTTGATTGAAACCATCAATGACACTTTACAGGCTTGATGTGGACTTGGTATAATACAGAAAATGTTCACAGTGACTAAAGCTTAAAGAACAATTGTCTTTTTTCTTTTTAACAAAAATAAACACAATCTTTTCCTGACCTCAACATAACCATAAACGGATATAAGAGTGAATCTTTACATAATGAAGGCTTAATACTATAATATTTTTGTAGCAGGTATAATGTTATGAAGTGCTTTCCAAAATGTCCCTATGTGTACCCTACTTTTTCCCAGAATTTCTGTTAAAACAGCCGCACTGCTCCACCTCTGACGGGATTATCGTCATTTATTTCATGGCCCCCTCAAAGCATTAATGGCTTTAACTTATTTTTAGTTATTCACATTACTGGTTTTTATTTTTGAGCCTACTGGAGCATATATCTGTGTGTGTGTGTGTGTGTGTGTGTGTGTGTGTGTGTGTGTGTGTGTGTGTGTGCATTAGATAAGCCTCTTAGAACCTCTCCATCGACATGAATACCAATAACCCCGTCTTTCCTTTGAGTATGTGTGTCTTGTTGGTGTGTGTGTGGTTGCTTTCAGTCATTGTGTAGAATATTTGAAATTAGATAATGAAACGTGATGATAGTGTTATGTTGAAATAGACAGGGATAATTTTTTAATGGATGAAGTGTTTTGTGAGGGAAAGGCAATTAATTGAATCATCTCATCACCGTATAATTATATCTTTAATTAATAAATCATACATAATCAAGTTTCCAAAAGATGACGGTTCATTGTTGTGAGGAGAACACATTGATGAGGGTAATTAATGAACTGATTTAATTGGTTGACTCACGTTTAACATCCTGTTTATAGATCACAACTCAGAGAAATAAACTGAGAAGAACGCAAGCGAGGTTAAGAGACATATGTGCAGAGCATCTGTATTCATATGCAGAACAGGGTGTAGTTTACTGCAGGCTGTTTCTCTTTCCTATAAAAGACACAGAATCAAAAATAGCTGAGTGTATACTTGAATCCCGTTTGAACGTGATAAACTCAAAGAACTGCTTTCTATGAGCGTTTTTCATTTACGAACGATAGAGAAAAAGTGAGAGAGGAACTCACTTAATATTGGTCATAGATACTTTTTACAAAATTATTCTGCCTGCTGTTTAAAGAATAAGGCCTGTGTGTTTCAATGTTTTTCAGATAGTCAGCAAATCCTAGGAAAAGACCTTCACCACTCAATAATTTCCAACTTTCTTACCCTATGGTTCTCATCCCCAACCCAATCCTTATTTAACACTACATCTTATAAAATCAATCACACATACGGTATATAGTTGACTTTACCAAATCATTTATTCAAACAGGAAAATTACTTTTTTCAGCTGCAAATTAATACACATTCAGTGCACTAGTGTGTATTTACAGCAACTGGAGCGTGTATGTGAGTTTGAATCTAAATAAGCTACTTAATGGAGGAACCTGTCACACAGTGTAACAGGGTGGCTTATTGATATAATTGGAATAGTGTTTGGTCAGTAAATAGAATGAATTCATTGCAGTTTTCAGTCTTTAAAATTATAGCTTCGTAATTAAATTGATCATTCAATAAGTAGATACAGAAGTCTTTAATGAGTATGTTATGTTGACGGATAATCAATATGGTGTTTTTCTTTTCCACTCCACTTCTTCAGTCACCATTGACTCACTGTACAAAGTGACTGAGGGCGGTCAATCGGACATTTTCCATCGTCATGCCGACAGCAGCCTCGACCCGACCTGCTGTTTCACCGTGTATCATGGAAACCACATGGAGTCCCTCGATCTGGTGACCACAAATGCAGAAGAAGCCAGGACCTGGATCACTGGCCTCCGTTACCTTATGGCTGGGATCAGTGATGAAGACTCGCTGGCCAAACGACAGCGCACACACGACCAATATCCTTTAACGAAGGATAATCCTTTTTGTGTTTATGCTATTTGGTTCTATCCACCATTAGCCCAGTGTTTATGGCGTTTCTGTCTCAAAAACATATTCATGTTTTCATCAATTTAATTACTTTATATTATGCAGACAGATTCATGTACATTCCTGATTTTCCTGAATTTGTGCTTGTTACGTGGCTAAAGCAGACGTTTGAAGAGGCCGATAAGAACGGAGACGGTTTCCTGAACATTGAAGAAATATACCAACTTCTCCACAAGCTGAATGTCAATCTGCCACGGAGGAAGGTCAAACAAATGTTCCAGGTCAGAAAATGAAGCCATTTTAATTTATTTAGCACTAAATTGTAATGGCCAATTTGTTATTAGTAATAATCCTTACAAATCTAAATACAGGTAATAGCGTGCCTTGCTAATTGAAAGGACACATCTCAACAGAAGAGAAACCATACAGATCCAGAATGACATTCCTTTTTTAACATATATTTGAAATTCAGTACCTAAACATTTAGCATATACATCAAGACTTCTGATTATATAAACCGGGTTGTGCTTTCATTTTTAGACATTGCATTCATGATGAATTAATATTTAAGATCACTGACTTCACATTACTGTTGCATTTTTTATTGTGAAGGGCATTTGAGTTATTAATATAAATGTGCAAGTAATATTTAATATTCTCATGTGCGAGAGAGAAACACTTTAAGAGGAAAAGTCACATTGAGTATGTCAGAAATCACTGGCTTCTCTAATGTGGGTGATGGTGTGCAGAACACTTTTTCACTTTCTTTTATCTTTTGACCCTGTCTCTGGCAGGCATGATCGACCTTTAACAATCATCATATTTCTATATTTAAATATGAGATTAGGTAGTATTTAATATGATCTTTAATTTTGACCTGGGTGAGATGGTTAATTTTGAGAGGCAGTGATGGAAATGAGTAATTTAAATGCAAACTCAAGGCAGATGCTGAGCGTCTAAACAGATCAAATAAATGTAGTCAACACCATCCCCCCAAAAATCCTCAAGCACACTGCAGTTCATTTGGATTTGGATTATTCTAAAACTGGTCCTGTGTCAACATCCCAACACTTTATTACTTCGAGCTTATACTGTGCCGATATGTATATGTGCATTTGTAGGCGTGCAAGGGTTAAGCCCGAAAACTACTGTTTACTCTGTGTCCCCCTAACAGCTTGATTTATACATCATGAAAGATGAAAATATTTTAATAAATACAATTTCTAAATATTCGACAAAGGTTTTGTGTCGACTAAGAAATATTTATTTTATCTATATTTTTTGCAGTATTTATTTTAATAACATTGAATCAAACTATCCAAACTAAATTTCCCTCGAAAGCCTCCTCTTCCCCATCACCTGGAATTTAAGAGCCAAGACAGTGGATTTCAACATGTTTTCATCCCTTCAAAGTGGACTAAACCTTAATTTTTCTCTATAAAACAGTCACTCTTTGGGTTTAGATTATATAGGAAATGTTATTTATTAATCTCTTTCCATTTAAGAATTGGCAGATAACAGCGTTTCAAGCCGGAAGAAAGCTTGTGCAGTTGCTTAAAATACCCGTTATCAGTTTGTTTTCTGTCCAGGCATTTCTGATGAAGTCCATCACAGTGATTTGTCCTGCTGGTTGTGTTAAGATTCTTTCTGTGATCGAGTCCCCGATGCACACAGCGAGCTCATTATGGGTGTGTGATGGAGGCATTAGCTGGTATTATTAGATTTGGTGTGTAGTCGATAGGCCCCCGTGAGATCAGGTAATGTGAGACGCTGGATACCATCGAACAGGCAGAGCGGGATGGCGGAAGAGAATGAGCAGCGAGCTGTGCTGCGTGTGTCCTCAGGCTACATGTGATTTGGATTAGGGAAATAAAAATAAATATCTTGATCGGTAATGTGTTTGTGCCATAAAGACTGGAACACTGCACTTGCCGATGTGAATTAGTGTTGATATCATTGTAAAAATGTAAATTAACAAGAGATGGAGAAAGAATAAACTGAGACAGCATGCAGCTGCACATGTGCATAGGAGTTACTCAGTACCCCTCACAGCTGACAGGTCTAGACACATTTTGTTCTTCAAATTATGTATTGGGAAGGCTGATACTTCCTTATCACTTACAGTCATTATTGGTCTTTGGCCATATTATAACCTGATAATCAGAATAAATTGCCAGTACATTTCACTCACATCCAGTCAATCTGACGTTAAGCTTCATTTAAAAAATACTACTAATAACTAACTAATTTGTAGCAAATTACGCATCCATCTGGCCACCGCAGAGCATCAACTCAATGTCTTTCATATTAAGCCAAAAATCAAAAATGATTTGTCCAACTCTGTTTTAGGTGTTTCAATCTCTTATATGAATTTATTATGTTTTCATGTTTTCCGCATGTACCATTCTCATGGATGTAATATCTCAGGACCTTTACAGAACTCAATACCTATGGCACAGACGTCGACCTAGACACAATAATTAACTGGATCTCAAAGGTCAAGGTCACTGTGACATACCACAACATTTATGTGTGATACTTTATGACGCACATCAAAAAATCTTAAAGATGTCTAACAGGATCAAATAATTCACTGATTACATTTTAGAAAGAAATGGATGTTAACTGTAACATGACTGGATGGCACATGCAACCATAAGGCAGTTAAGTTAGTTCTGTAATTGGACAACACTGCGGTATCCTGGGTCAAGAGCAATACACAGGACATGCAAACGCACAAATGTCTGTTGTTTTGAGTTAGATTTTCGCCCCTGATTATTTTTTGAGATAAGATAAACCTTTTCTGAATTCAGGTGTCGAGAGCTAGAGTTCATACATGGATAATAAGAATAACAATATAAACATTGACAGGTTTTTAATATTCTCAAATATAGAAATGTGTAATAGCCACCCAAAACAAGTACAATTTGAGTTATATTCTGCATTTATATCATACTTTTTAAATAAACAAATTGCTCAACAAGCAATGTCAAAAGTTTCTGTTTGTTGTTTCAATTTAGGACAGTTAAAGTCACAAAAGTTTCTGGAGAGTTTTACTTACCATCTAAAAATAATAGCCTGAGAGGTGTCACCAATGACATGTCCCTTCCTCATCTCCACAGGAAGCAGACACTGACGATCAGCAGGGCACGCTGACCTATGAAGAGTTCTCTGTCTTCTACAAGATGATGTCTCTGCGACGGGACCTGTTCCTGCTGATGATGGCGTACAGTGACAGGAAGGATCACCTGACAACAGAGGAGCTAGCCAACTTACTGCGTAACGAGCAGAAGGTGAGAGGTCACTAAAATGCTCAGCCGGCGACATACATTTTTATTCGGAGGGGTCCAAATTACTTCCTCTCCAATCAGCTGTATTAATTTCATATGGAGCCACACAAAAGAGATTGATTCAGTTCCTGTTTTCCCTCCCTGAGTTTAACATTTAACGCCCTCGGTCTCAGCTGTCTGCCCAGAGGAATCCGCTTCACTGAGTCAATCTATCGCGCAAAAATTGTTTTGTCTCACGAGAGCACTTTTTTTTGTTCTTTACACTTTTTCCTGCTCTCTTTTTCCTCCAGTTATTTTCTTTGTGCTTCTGACTCACTCTTTTCTTTCTTACACTCAAATGGTGTCATTTTCATCATGCTGTATTTGACGCCTCGAGCCTGAGATACTCTGCATTTATACTGTTTTCAGATTGTGCTGCTGGTTTGACATGGATGGAAATGTATTTAACAGCAACATACATGTGTTGTAAAGATGGGAAAATATCTGAGTCTTATTTTACTCTGGAATTAAATCATTGTTATTAACTAAATTTCAAGGAGTCTGAAAAATGTGTTTTTTCCCTACAGATGGCCAATGTGACTCCAGAGTATGTGGCCGAAATCATTGACAAGTTTGAGAGGTCTGATGAGAACAAACAAAGAGGCGTCATAGGGATTGAAGGTATTTTTCTCCAAATGTTTTACCCCCCCATATCTGTCACGGCCCGCCTTAGTTTTTTTTAATGCAGATTTAACAAAAATTAGCATTTCTATCAACCCCCTTTTTAACTACTGTGACTTTCATCCCCAAAAAAATCCTGATTCCCTAGAAAGATTAATTCTGAAAAAGATAAAATAATGTTGTTCATCTCTGAGAGCTGTTTTAAGTAATGCAACTAAAGGGTGAGTTTGTGAAGGAGGATTGAGCAGGGTGGCCTTTGTGAGAAATTGGGAAGTCAGAATGAGGGCGGTGGAAGAAAAAAAATGACAGTTTGACAGACATGAGGGGAGGGAATATGGAGAGGAGATGAGAGGGGAGCAGCAAGGGTGAGACTAATCTTGTTGTTGGAGGCATGAAGGCTAACACTGTGTGTGTCTGACTGATCAGACCAATATGTCTGCAGGCCAGAAATGTGTTTTTTACTTTGCATTGTGGACAGATGGGACAGTTATGTATAAGCAGAGGATTTTTTTACTGTGTGATGAGCTGTTACTTACAGTATTTGAACCATCGTGGTGATAATATTGCGTGACCAGTCTGATCAATATCTTTCACATGGGCCTTTTTGCGTCACATTTTTCAGTTTCCTCTTGGCAGTGTGCTTTTCCACAGTCTTCTTCTTTTCGTTTTCTGCTCTCTGGCCTATTTTCTGATTTTCCATGCTCTTGGTATTCTTGTCTCATTTTTATCCCTCCTCTCTGGATAAAAGGATGCTTTCTTTCTTCCCACTCCCCTCCACTCCGTACCACCTAAAAAAAGTTGTCTGTTTGAAGAATATCTGCCATCGAGAGGTTCTAAACCTCACCACTCTGGTTCGAAACCACTGTGCTGTGGTTACACTGTGCTTGTCTGTCATCCTTGGTATTTTCCCAGAGAGATCATCATGCAAATGAAGAGAAATATTGTAGGTGCCACTGTTAGAAGCCGTTAGAAGGTGCATACATTGATCTGAGGGCTGGTAGTTTGAAATACAAAATATTTTGTGTTACGATGTTCACTTTAATTTCAGGATATTGTATCTAAATGTAAATCTGATAACAGCACAACAAACAATGTTTTAAACACTTTGCTTCAGTGAGTCCTCAGCAATTCTACTGGCTCTCTGTGTAATTCAATTTAAATCTATCATCTGTATGCTAACAAGGCTAAAAGATAAAATTATTATTATTAAAATTATTATATTGAACAGTCTGTACTAAAAAACAGACAACAAACAGCACTGCCATAAACAGATGATGGTGATAAACCATGATTGAACTAAGCTAAATGCTTTAGAATCCCTGATGTGATTCCACATATATTTTTAACAATACATTTGTATTTTCCTTTAGGTTTTACAAGTTTCATGCGCAGTCCAACGTGTGACATTTTCAACCCTTTGCACCACGAGGTGAACCAAGACATGGACCAGCCTCTTTGTAACTATTTCATCGCCTCCTCTCATAACACATACCTGACTGGAGACCAGCTTCTCTCCCACTCCAAGACCGACATGTATGCCTGGGTGCTGCAGTCCGGCTGCCGCTGCGTAGAAGGTGAGGGAACATCTGCACTAAAATATGGACGCCATGCGTGGCTAATCTGACTGCGCATAAGCCTTTCCACAGCAGACATGTTGACATGTTGCAGTGGGAAAAGCACAGGTGCAAATAAAAACATTTAGCACGGCCGAATTCTATATACCGGTAGTCGTATTAGATTGTGGTATCTGTGATCGTGCATCACTGTCACACTGTCATGGCTTACTGGGACACTTAAATAGAGCAGAGCTATCATTGTTCAAGTTATTAGCTGCTTTTCCTGCTATACCCTGTCAAAATGTCTGCAGTGGAAAACTACATTTTTATTTGACAAGCTGATTTATAACTAGGATTATTCCTGTTACACCCTATACTGTATAAAATGATACATTTCTGTTAAAAGTGGTATAAAACCATCACTGTTAGGAATGTGTACTGCTTAGCAATTTGGGACATTTTATACTGTTTTTAAATTGAAACTTAACACCTATTTTACTGTATTAATGTTTGGTAATACAATTCCAAACCAGCCTAAAGTCGCAGTATCTCTGAAAAAAAACACAGAAGCACAATCTTGCACATGCTATTGCAGAGGTCACCAACTACATTTGTCCAAGGGCCAAAATTAAACCAAGAGACACTTTCGGGGGCCAGAGATTTTTATATATATTTATATATAAATCATAATAAATTATATATATATATTTATATATATATTTGATTAATATGTTCACTTTATTGAAAAAATAATCTTTTTTTTATAAGCCTGTATCCGGGTTAATAAAACTGAAAGCAGTCCTGATTGGCTGGGAAAGGAATCAACTTTTGTATTAATACCATGTCCTGATTGGTGGGAAACGGTTGCAGGATATAAGAAAATTGTTTGCCAGGCACGCAAAAATGTCTCTGCCAAAGAGCCTCAAGCGTAAAGTTGACGTGGAAAACCACAGTTTTAATGAGGAATGGAGGGATAAATACGCATTCATCATGCCATCGTTCAATAAGGCTACACCTGTTTGCCTTATCTGCAATGAAACGGTCACTGTTGCAAAAGAGTACAATCTGATCACACATATCACAAAGCATGCAACTTTCTCACTTTATTTATTTATATTTTATTTACTTTTTTACGCCACAGTATGTCTGCCAGTTGATGGTCACTGTGCTATTGCTTGAACATGTCTTTGATTGACAGTGTTCGTTAGTAGAATATATAAAAGCTGAGAGATCAAGTACAAATCCAATTGACTGTCTTCTTTATATTCAAAGCTGAACAGAGAAAAGAGACAGAAAACGGAGACTATAACACACCACACTGTTTTATTCATGCATCATGTCTCCTGTTTTCCCCTGCAGTAGACTGTTGGGACGGACCTGATGGAGAGCCGATGGTCCAACACGGATACACTCTGACCTCCAAGATACCTTTCAAGTCTGTCATAGCGACCATCAATAAATATGCCTTCATTAATAACCAGTGAGTCAACAACACAGTGTGTGTGTGTGTGTTATAATGTTGTTTGTTTACCGCTGTTAACATGAACTATCTTCTCTTCCAGAGCATTGATCTAAGTATCATCTAATTTATCTATCCTCAATTTCTGCAGAGCATATTCTCTGCAAAATTCAATTGAAAAATCCAAATGTTATTTGTATAGGGAACCAGTGCAATGCTAAGTTCCCTTATTAGTATACAAAAAGTTCACATCCCTGCACCACTCCATTGGCATGAATGGACAAGGACCATACTGGTACAATTTATGATATCGAGGTATACACTATGAGACACTACTGTATAGAAGTGTGTGTGTTGGTTTGTGTAAATGTTTAATGGGAACCAGACACTTCCATTTTCTCATAGGTATTGTAAAGGGGGAAACTGTCTGAGAATGCCAAATCGAAATGCCATTTTACTGATTTCTCCTTCAGTTTACTCACTCATATAAATCTGCTGAAGCACCATTTCTGGTTGACATTCAGAAGAGCAAATAATGCTATTTTCTTCTGGACAAACGGCATAATACAGTATTTCTCTGACATGTATTATTGATTGTATTTTGTTTTCTTTTGTTTTAGTGTTTTGCTTTATGGTCCAGAGTGAGACATAATAACATCAGCTGGCTCATAAGAAAAGCTGACAAACTAAATTGTTTCTCATGAGACTAGTCTTAAACTAAAAATGTTCCTGTTGTAAAATTATACATTTACTTTTGATTGAAGGTTTCCCCCAAAGGTTTACCAAAAAAATAGCAACATTTTTCCAGCCATGTTTCAGAGAACACTGAGTTTACTGGCCACAATTAGCACCTATTACTGAACCATCTGCTCAGCAGTGTTTCCTCTCGCTCCCTGAGGAGCCACTGTTTCTCTCTGCTGGCTCCAACATTACCAAAACAAAGTGGTGTATGATGCAGCTTCTTGCTGCCACATTGGCTCGCTAGGCATCTATTGCAGCTACTTATAAGTACATCACCTGTGTTATGTAACCATTTTTTTACTTAAAAAATTCAGACAGTGTTGGACTTGATTGTGGGAAGTTTGACCAAAAATAATTAAGGCTTTTTTTTTTTTATAATGTTATACAATATTACATTTTCTCATCATTCTCTGCATGATACACAATATGGTTGTTTACCCAAATGCTCAGTAATAGGAAGCAAAATAAAGACACCGGAACAACATTAAATTAAACAATTGTTAAATTAGGGTTCCCAAAAGAAAATATTAAAACTTGCTTATTAGGAAATACCTGTAAGCTCTTAAATAATAATCAATAGTAATCTGTAATAATAATTCTGACAGGCAGAACGTGTTAATAAATTAAATATGATGTGCCTCACATCTCGATCCCCACTCTGCTGGCTTTTACATTCAGCTAATGTTTTATCATCAGTGCCACCTGTTAATATGATTAATGGCTGCTGGCCTGTATTGAAATGGAGAGAGTCTCTGCTCAATAACACACGCACACACACGCACACACACACACGCGCGCATGCGCACACGCACACGCACACGCACACGCACACGCACACACACACACACACACACACACACAGAGACAAGCACACACACTCTCCTTCACCTGAGAGAAGCTCCTGGATGTCCGTCCCTCTGTTATCTCTTTTTGTCTCTGGCAGAGTACTGGTGTGTGTGTGTGTGTGTGTGTGTGTGTGTGTGTGTGTGTGTGTGTGTGTGTGTGTGTGTGTGTGTGTGTGTGTGTGTGTGTGTGTGTGTGTGTGTGTGTGTGTGTGTTATGTGGATCAGAGTTGGAGGTGAGAGCAGGGCTGTGTTCCCTGAGGGAGAGCTGTCAGTCTGACAAACCTGGCATTTGAGCTGCTCTGCCGTGTGGCCACAAGTCATGTCACCTTTTTAAAAACACACACACATATACACACATATACACACAGACACGCATGTACTCACACACCAGACACACACTAGCACACAGATCATTAACCTGCTACCTCCTTTATTTTTCATGTTTACTCTACGGCTGAATTTAAGACACATATTTTAAATGTTGACAGGTTTTAATTTAATTCATGGGAATCTGAATATGTATTCTGATTTTTTTTCAGGTATCCAGTAATTCTGTCCATAGAGAACCACTGTAGCATCCAGCAGCAGAAGAAGATTGCTCAGTACCTGCGAGAAATCTTTGGAGACAAACTGGACGTGAGAGATGCCCTGAGCAGGGACTCAAAAACATTACCCAGTCCTCAGAGCCTGCAGGGCAAGATCCTCATCAAAGTAAGAACTCATTTATGGATATTATGGGGGAGTGACAGTTAATGTCTTCAAATTAATGAATAAGTAGCACATTTGAAATATGCCAAGTCTGTCAACTGCACTTGTAAATTGAAACATCTTTATTGAACGGCTCAGTTTCCTTCCTTTTATTTCAGTGTAGAAAGCAGAGCACTCGTTATCCCTCCATATTTTACTTCATGTGCCTTGCTGCACTGACGATGAAAAGTGGGAGAGGCACTGCAGGACGGCTAATTATTGCCTATAAACAGATGAAGCGAAAGAAGAGGAGAAAGTGAGGTCAAATCTAGGTCATTGTATTACTCATAAAGGGAGAAGGAGGGAAGGACGAGATGCCGGTATATGATAATTGAGCAACTTATTGCGTTTTATATTGTTGTCAATTCTGAAATGAACCACAATAAGTAGATAACTAAAGACTTATTCAAACTACATGAAACATACACTGCTACAGAAACAGTCCTTTATGTCTCAAATCCCTGCTAAAAAAATTAATCAAAAAGTCAAACTTAAGAAAAAAGGTCATTCCTGTTCTTTCCCTTACCATCAGTCAATGAGGGTTATTTTGATATTATTCTGTCTGAACATTTCCATTTGAATTTCCACTTTTTTATACAAGGTTTTAATAAGGTCAGAAGTAGAGGAAAAACATTAAGATAATCCTTTTATATTATTATTATGATTATTATTATCTTTCTTTCTTTCTTTGACTCACAGCAGTGGAAGTAAAGCTAGAAAAACATTGTAATCCCGAAAGGCAGGACAGGTGCATAGCATGATGATCTTATCTGATGATCAAAGCACTTTGAATTGCCTTGTGTTGAAAGGTGCTATATAAATAAACCTGCCTTGCCTTGATCTGTTGATATGATTTTGTTTAATATCACTTGGACGGTTTTTGACCAAGAAGATTCTTATCCTCCTCCAAAGGACAAGTTATTGATACAAAGAGATAGGGAGCACTTTGATGGGCAACTCTATCACCTTTTATTGGATATATTTTTTAAGAACCAGATACAACTGACTTTATATGTAACGTGAAGAAAGGATACTTTGTTCCATGAGGAAAAAAGGAGCTTTGGCTTTTGCTTCTCCCCAGCCAGATGTATACAAAGTAAAAGAGCACTATTGATTTATAAAGCCCTTTACTCCTCTAAAAGTCTTCCCCCCTCTCTCTTATCCTCCTCTTTGCCCTCGTTTGAGAGCCTTTGATTTCTATCCATCCTTTGGTGGAGACCAGAGAGTCACAGGAAAAGGAAAAGTGGCGTAAGGGTTTTTGACAGTCACAGATAGAAATAAACGACAGGGATAGACTACCTGGGGCAGTAGTAAAAAAACGAGGGCGGTGGTGTCACCCTGTGAGACACACGTTGAGATGCGGGAAGCTCGGAGTCTGCCATTGATTTTGAGAGAAGCTTAGAAAATCTTGACTCCCACTCACACTTTCAGAATGGCTCACTAATGTGCTTCCTCTCTGCTGAAAGAGCTGCACAGGGAGCTTGTAAGAAAATCAGTCGCTTATTGTAGAATGGTGCGTGTTTGTGTGTGCACTACGGTGTGCTTTGTGCTCTCGTGTGTGTATTTGTGGCAGTCCTGGGAAAAAAAAAACATAACGGGAAATCACTTTAAGGTGCATTTTGTTTGCAAAGGCTTGTGTGCACTTTGGTGAATATCTGAGTGAATATGCTGCATTCTTCTGTGTTATTCTTGGACTATGTTATAGGTTCAACCTGTGTGGGCGCCCTAGTATATATTGGAGACGAGCAAGGATTTAAGACATGTATATGGATCAAATGTATGTTTGTCCACTCTCCTCTCATGTCTGTCCTCTCTCTGTGTAGGGGAAAAGTCTCCCTGCCTATCTGTCTGCGGACGCCGAGGAAGGGGAAGTGTCTGATGATGACAGCGCTGATGAAATTGAGGACGACTTCAAGCTTAAGAGTAGCAATGTAAGAGAGAAGACTTTAGATTTCATAATATGTGCACACGAACAAGCACATTAACACCAACAAACAGACAGGTTACCTCACACTTTTATGTTTTCAATGAGCTTTCATCAGGCCAGTTGTGCTACTAAATGTTAGGCTTATGTCTTTGTTATTAGATTTATTTTTTGCTTCTATCATGGAAAGTGCCTAACGGCTGCAATATGCCTTTTACATACCTTTCACAGAGCCCTTACTCTGTCTTTCTACATGTTGTTGAATCCAGAAAAGCATTTAAATCATTTGAATGAGTAAAATGTATCCTCCAATAAATGTGAACAATTATTTAAGTGCTGCTTCGGCAATTCATTAAACAGTTGTAAAGTCACAGACAAAATCTTTTATCTAATATTCATTTTAGCTTGTCAGGAACTAATGTGAGAGAGTCAAACCCCGTCCTCCACATACAGGCGCCACAAACAGTAATGAGATAATGGGATGTTAATGACATTGTTATGCTCTACGTAATGTCTTCAGTAATTGGGTAGTTATGTCGGTACTTGTAAAGTTTTATTGATCATCATTGCAGTCATTTTTCGGAAGGATCAAAGCTTAGTGGTGCAGACATAAATATTAAGTAATTGCAAGCATTTAATCTTGCTGTTTTTTTTTTTTATTGATAGACGTTCCTTGTGCCATTTATAATAGTCATTTTTAATCCTGTTTATTATTCCATGATACAGTAGTGCCAGGGTCCTCCTCACCACATTTAAAACAGGAAAACACTCACTTGTTCTCCAGATGGTGCGTTGTGTAACACAATATGGCATCATTCTTCCAACATTTAGCTGGAGGCATGATGCGCAGATGCCACTTTGGATGATCATTGCCATTTTGAAATGGTGGTTGCAGGTTTCCACTGATGAGAGGTTTTGTATTGCGCTCATTAAACCAGTTTCACAGCAGTCACCACTAACGTTTCATTTATAGTGGGATATAGCTTTTGTCCAACAGTGACACACAGGCTGTGGAAAAAGAGTAACTTATGTAGGCTAGCAGTACTCTATATTATGCCAAAAAAACAGACATTTCTATTTACATTTTTCTACTCACTACTGGTTGTTATATAGAAAGAGAAGTGTAAAACACTGAAGGGATTTGAGGTCTCTTTAGTGAAAGTGAGAGTTTTACATTTCAAGATACCTCAATTGGTAGCAAAAAAAAAAAAGCTTTTGGCTAAATAAGCAAAGCGACACTAAAATCTAATGTTGTGCATATTAGATAATCAAAGGAAAGGCAAGGCAGCTTGTGTTAGCTGGATGTCTCGTTACCGGTAAAACTCAGGTGGATCAGGAGTCAAAATGTTGTTTTTCTTTCCTTTACCTGTACAGTAGGTGGCGCACATCTCTATTCCTACTGCTGTACTTTTGAAACTGTTTCTCTAGTTACTTTTCTTGCGAAAAGGTGATGCTGGTGGTTCAGCCTGGTGTCAGATGCTTTGCATGGGTGATAATGAGTGTCCAAAATGACACTCCTCTGCATCACTTGCTGTTAATATATGTGTCTTTGCACCTTTCTTAAAACAACCTCTGCTCGATACCTTGCCTAGCTCTTTCTCCATCCCTGTTTGAACACATTTCCTCCTTTTTCTCACAGGGGAACGGTAATCACCAGGTGGAGTCGGACATCAGAAAGAAACTGGACTCTCTACTGAAAGAATCTCGAATCGGAGACAAGGAAGACACTGACAGTTTCAGCATCCGTGCTCTGCTCCGGGCTACGCATCAGGGCCTTCAGAAGAACCTGCGGCAGGTACAAAAAGGAAAAGTGGAGCTGCATACGGAGCAGACTAATACTCGTCAACAGATGAGGAGAAGAAAGAGTGAAGAGGGGGGGGTGATGTAAAACTAGGCCATGGTATTAGTCACAGAGGGAAAGGGAGAACATAAAGGGTTTGGCTGGTTAATGCACCACTCACAGGTCAAACACATGCACTGAATACATAATAAATAGTGAGTCAAGACTGCTGTGTGTTTTATCGAAAGCATGTCAAAACAGCCTGAAAGTGATGATAAACTAAATGTCTGCAGTGTTACTTAATATTTAATTTCCCTGCTTGCTTCCCGTGCTATTTTTAGAGGATTCAGTTTCCTGACATCCATTTTTATGTGCTGGGTGTTGGTGATCCCCTCTACTTCATTCTGTCTCTAAAGACAGTCCTCTCTGTCTCTCCTACTGTAATATCCCTTTTTCACATTTTCTCCTTTCTTCTTTTTCAGCCACTCAGTTTTTCAGCTTTGCTGTGCTTTATTGGCTGATTTCTTATGCAGCCCCTCCAGCTATTGAGCTTTAGGGTTTAAGTGTCTTGCTGGGTGCTAATGTGGTTTTGATTAGATGCACATCAAATGATCCACACATAATATTGTAAACAAGCACACACCCAAACACACATATCAATCTGTGGATGTGTTTTTCTTGTCTTTAGGGCTCCAAAGGGGTTCTGAAGAAATCTCAAAGCAGATCCTTACTCACGACGCTCAAACAGAAGGTGAGTAGCATGGAAAGAGAGCTGGTTTGATTCTTCATGTACTTGTGTGAGATCTGAAAGGGCTATTGTGAGTTGCCATTAAACTGGCCACTAAGTTTCTATTTCAAACATGAGTGTGATGTGTCCCTTAGGCTGATCTCCACTTATGGGAAGAAGAAAAGAAAGCCTCCTCACTGTTCTCCTGTAGATAAATATACCATGACATAAACATATGCATATAAATATTAGCAACCTATGTAGTATTATCTTCGGCCTGTAGTAGGTAGCAGGATGATCATTTAGACTGACACCCTAGTCTTCCTGTTTGTGACGCATACCTGTGAATTACACATGCAGATGTGTATGTACTGTCGTGATTTAGATCCTTTCTATGGTACGTTTTTGTTGTGTTTTTCGTTATTTCACACTACAATATAGGTTTACATGTCAATGTTTGATATCATTTTTCAGCCTGGTTATTTCCCACGGAGAATTTCTTCCTTTTGACCTTCCTATACAAACTCACATCTCCTCTTCATTCTTTAAAGCCTCCCTCTTTGCATATTATGCGTCCTCCCACGTATGTGTGTGTGTGTGTGTGTGTGTGTGTGTGTGTGTGTGTGTGTGTGTGTGTGTGTGTGTGTGTTTGCACGCGCGCGCGTAATCTGTTGGCATCCAGCCTAAACCCTGTAATTATTGCAACCCTCATCCTCTCCTCAACTCCACTTTAGCCTAATAGAGATGTTGCTTCTCTCAACAAAAAAAACGCGCACTCCATCAAATACACACTTGCTATAATTACATGTGTTTTACCTAAAACACCCACTAACGTGCACAACCACACATTCAAACTGCTACTACAATAACAATACTTCGAATGAATAGAATAGAAACACATACTAGGATACATTATCAACCACCCTTGTCCACTTACAAACTCTTACTGCGAGTTTGTGTGTGGGCGGTGTCAGGTATGATGTGTATTTAAAACAGTATCAGGATTATAACTGAAGACAAGGATATAGGCAATACTATTCTGCTTTCCAACCAGTAATACAACTTTCATTGTATTTTGTTTGCTTGTTTATTTATTCCTATGTGTGTCCATTGCTCAGAGGCACTCCAAATCCAGGCTGTCATGCCAAAGCGTGGACAAAGAGGAGGATGTTCAGGAGACTGGGACCAGGAGGGAGGCCGGAGGACAGTTCAACAGGTGACCTTTGACCTGCTATACCAAAACACTGACAATCCCTGAGTACTGGGAGGTTTGATGGTTGCTGACTGCTTCAGGGCTGCAGGGCATCAGTGTCATGCAAGCTAAAGCTTCTTCAGCATTCAGTTGTGTTTGTGTGAGGGAAAGAAAAATGGAGTCAAAGCACAGAGCTTACACTGAATGCAAATAAGAGAAAGCCTGATTGGAATTGAACCCTTCTGCTTTCATGTATCACCTTTGACAAATTTAAAGTAACTGAAGCTGTGTTCACTCTGCAAGCCTTGCTCTATCATGACTCCCTGCTTACATTGCATATTGTATACTTTTGGACTGCTTTGATTTATCAGGTTACTTTACTAAAGTGACCCTCAAGTGCATAAGACCAAAGACAGGTCAACCAGCATCAATTCAATTATGAAAAGGCAGCAACGGTGGCTCAAAGCGGTGTTTACTGCATAATATATACCGTATATATATATATATATGTCAAAAATAGTTATTCTGACATGGCTACTATTTTGTATCTTTATTTTTTTTGCATTTAACTTCAAAAAATTTTTATGTTTTCAGTGACTTAAAAGTTTAAGATCATTTATTTAGTAAAATAACCAACACAACTCTAATAATATACTTAAAGTTCTCAAGAAAAATGTCTGCATTCATATTTTCGGGAAAACACATTGGTACCTGAAAGTATTAAGAGTAAAAGTCCCAATCATGCAAACCGACCACTGGTAGTATTATATTTTTGCATAGAATATTATTGTATTTAATACAAAAAAGCGAAACCAATTGCTCAATATCCTTCCTAAAAATTAAATGTCTAAATAATAAATAATGAATACATTGTAATGGCGATATCACAATTGTTAAGCCAAATATTAACATTCTTGAGAAAAATATTCAAAATGTTACTTGACTTGATATTACAATGAATTGCACCCAAAATGTTCCACATCAAAGTTCCTCCACTGAAAACCTCTACTGCTGCAATCCTCCATCTTCCCTGATGTCATGAGAAAAATGTGTGCATCCAACATAAATGCCACACATACTCTCTGTGCTATCATTACTGAGATGCATGCTCCATTGCCACACAGTGGATATTCACATATGAAAGAGACTCAAATCAACATTGTCAGCAGGATCAATGCTCGTTGTCCCATTCACAGTTATAAAAACGGATCTGATTCTCCAATCAAGGTGGAGAAAATCCAATTGAGTCCATTTTCATTTGCACCTTAAATTAATCACAGTTGTCTTTCACACACATTCTTTGTCTACCTGAATGCTGTTTTTCCTTTTTCTGTGTGAGTGAACATTGAGTAAGAAGTATGGAAATCCAAATGTGTTTTCCTCCCTCTGTCACTCCCTGTGTATAAAGCCTTTGTCTCCCTTTGTTCTCCCAGTTTCTGTTTGCATATTCATATATGCATGTCACAGTGCAGATCCTACAAGCATGCCTCTGAGTGGCTATGTGACTGACAGACTGTCTTTGTGCAAGATTTGTATGCATGTGTGTGTGAAGTTGTATATTCGTTGTGTCTTGTTGCACTGCATGCGCTTTGGTCCCTATTAGGCGTTTTGCCTTTGATGCTCTTGCCTGGGGTTTGCAAGTTGCCTCCCTTATGGACAATCCTCTCTTGCCTGGCTTTTACCACTAAATTCTTAAACAGGTATATGAGTGTGTGCGTGTCTTCTTACCTTACCTGTCTCATATATCTTTCATGATCTCACTCACTCTCCTCTATCCTCTATTGCAATTGTCTTCTGTCATCTGGCAATTGTTTTAGGGGTGGAAGGAAGAGGAAGACGATGAAACTGAGTAGAGATCTGTCAAACCTGGTGGTGTTCACCAACTCTGTTGCCTCACAGGAGTGCCTAAATCAAGGTGAAACACCAAAGCTTTGTCACCTTCACACACAAACAAATAAGGACATTGCAATCTTTTTCATAAAGACATTTTCTCATCCCTAACCCATGTAACCCTTCAGGCACTCCAGGTGACGTTCTGTCCTTCAGCGAGACCAGAGCGCAATCTCTGGTCAATCACAGAGCCGAACAGTTCCTGGCTTTTAACCAGAGGCAGCTGTCACGGATTTATCCCTCAGCCTATCGCATCGACTCGTCCAATTTCAACCCCCAGTTCTACTGGAACGTGGGCTGTCAGTTGGGTAAGACAGCTGTCTGTCACTCTACGCTTTTTACTTGTATTAAGGTTGTCTGTTAATGAAAACACCATGTCTTCCCTTTAGCCACGCACATGTCATTACACCACACTATACACACTTCATTTACACGTATCACATTGTGCAGTTTGCCAGTGGTCATATATGCAGAGACTAATTGGTATGAGTGTGAACACTAACTCAGACGAACAAGATATGTGTGCGCTGCATGAATTTGCATTTTTTGTGGGATGGAGTATGTGTGATTTTATTTGTAGGTATATAGTTGGAATACAAATGTTTAGAGGATTGAGGAGAAATACATAAATAAAATAAAATAAAATGTGAGCTGATGAAAAAGAGTCAGACCCTGGTGAACACCCTTGGAGAGAGGGAGAGACCAAAGGGAAGCACCCGGAACTGATAGTGTCTGCCCTGAAAGGCAAACCTCAAGAACTTCCGGTGGTGAGATGCAACCGGCACGTGGAAGTAGGCATCCCTCAAGTCCACGGTTGCGAACCACTCCCCCTGTGCATGTGCTGTGGTCAGCGTATGGAATGGCAGCACCTTCAGGAATCTGTTGATTCCTCTGAGGTCCAAGGTGGGACGAAATCAGCCTACTTTCTTGCTCACGAGAAAGTACGCAGATTAGAACCCCCCGGGCTGAAGCAGAGGGTCTACTGGCTCGATTGCGCCCTTGGCCAGGAGGATGGACAACTCTTGGGCCAGAGCCAAGGCCTTCGCCGGATCACTGACAACTGTCGTTTTGACCCGGCCGGAACTTCAGTTCGTACCCCTGGGTTAAGGTGGAAACCACCCAAGGGTCAGAAGTACAGGCAGCCCAGTAACTGAGCTTGGGGGGCGCCGGTAAGGCTCTGAGGCACGAGGCTGCCTAGAAGGCAGTTGAGTGGGCCGCTGGGACCTCCGCAGACCACCACTGTAAGCTGGCTGCTGAGTGCGGCTGCTATTGGGCCCCTGGGCCTGCTGGGAGTGGGCACAGGCCTATGAAGACCCGAGAGCTGCTGCCTGGTCCGCCTAGCTTGGGCAGCACGCTCCAGTGCCTCCAGGGCAGCTGACCCAAACAGCTCCCCTGGCTCGACTGGCACGCTACGGAGGACTCTCCTACATGTCTCCGTTAGTGGTGACTGAGCAAGCCAAACCTGGCGGCGAGTCTGCACCAACAAGGACATAACTCGTCCCAATTCCCTAGAAATTAGGGCAAAGGTTCGCAGTGATGCATCACTGATGCCTGGCAAGAAGGCTCAGCCAGAGCCTGCTGCAGAGAGGTAGAGACAGCCAGCATCAGATGGGAGAGGGAGTTCCTGATACGACCCATGCGTGCCGCTGCGTCGTAGGCCTCACAGAGCTGTTTGTGTGTGACCCTGCACTGAGGCCGAGGGCACCTGACCTCAGGCCTTAGAGCCTCATCAGAAGCCAAAATCAGGGAGGCCGTACGAATAATGGCCGCCATGGAGTCGTCCTTCACGCCCTGCAGAGAACCCTGAGCAGAGGAAAGGGAAGCCTCCTCGAGCGGGACCTCGTCCTCCACCTCTTCATTGGAGAGGTTTGCCGAAGCCGCTAGCGACAAGGCATCCTCATACAGAGGTGCGGCAACCGAAGGAGGGGCAGGCGGCACGCTAGCAGCCCTGGCTGAAGGGCCAAGAGGAGCGACTTCATCGTGTCCATGTCGGCAGCTAGCTGATCCACTTTAGAGGACAGCCTGTTTCTAGTCCTCCTATTGGGGGGTGCACCCTTAGCCATGGCTCCCTCAAGTCGCTGGGAACGGCCGAACTGATCTGGAGGAGGATGTGACAAGGAGAGGTGTCCGTTGGCTGCTGCCAGACGTTCTACCTCAGTGATTCTAGCCACTCTGAGCGCCCGAGGCATGCAGCTACAGTTCATGCAGGTTTAGATGCTTTGATGCTCCAGGCCGAGGCAGGAGGGGCAGCGGTCATGGTCGTCCTCGGGCTCAAGAGAAGCCATACAGACACTACATGAATGAGCCATTCTGTAGGTAGCCAGATGCAGTGTAGCCGGGAGCGGGAACACAGCCTTCACCAGCTACCTGCTGAACGGAAAGAGTAGAGCAATGCTGCTACTCGCTGAACAGAAAGAGGGATGTAATTACACCCACGTTACCGGCAGAGGGAGCGAGAGCACTGCCTTCACCTATCTGGGTTAATAAACAAGGCAGTTTAGCGTCTACCGGGAGCGGGGGCGAGAACACTGCCTTCACAGCTACCTGCTGAACGGAAAGGGTAGAGCGGTGCTGCTACTCGCCGAACAGAAAAAGGGATGTAACTACACCCACGCTCCCGGCAGAGGGAGCGGGAGCGAGAGCACTGCCTTCACCTGGCTGGGTAAAATAAAGAAGCTTTAACACAAAGCTAAGACCAGAAACTGGCTTCTAAAGAAAAAACAGCACAAGAAACTCCGGTGCTTATCCCGGCGTCAGCCGATTGGCTGCAGCCGCTACTGCTAACTAGCCAAACAAGAAACACAGCTAAAGCCAGAAACTCAAAATGCTAATAATAGCTTGGCACAAGGCCGCGGTCAGAACAAGTACAAAAGCACAGCAAGGGCAACTCCTGGGAGAGGGAGCGGAAACACTACCATCACCAACCAAGCCGACACCAACCTGTCCGAACAAAGTCTCTGCGCAGCCACAGCTCCTGGAGGACGGGTAAGCCCGCGGCCCCGACTGGATGAGTCGTGAAGCTGCACGCAGCCAGCTGTTGCAGAGAATCCTTGAACAAATGTTCCAACCGAACGAACGCTGTAGGCTACAAAAATGTAGCCACGGTACTCTTGCGTAGCGAGAAGAGGAAAAGGAACAGACCCTCTGACGACACCGGCTGATATAGCCGGTGTCACGTGGGTCACAGGTGACGTTGTTGTTATTGGTACTCGAGCTGCACATGCGCGCGATGGACATATCAGTGCTAAAGCACTGCCTCTGGCGGTCAGTAGGGACGAAATAGAACTACAATTCTACCCGTGATATACACTCATTATGTCAAGGCTAAGAACCAATCAGATTGCTTGATTTGACTTGTCTGTTTTATAAATAGAGGATATACATATTTATACTTATTTGTATTATTGTATTCGGGATTGTTGGAAACGTTATTTCGATGTACAAACACACAGAACAATTGACATTAAAGTTGACTTTGATTCAAAAGCTTAATAACTGTTGATTTGGTAAGTAAAGGTTGATAAAGCTGACAATGCTATGCAAAGTAATGGCAGATACTCTCTCTCGCATGTACATAATACGGGAACCTGTACACTGTACATAAAATAACAATATTTACATCCACTGTTTTATACCATTTGGCCTCTAGAGGAAAGCTGAAAGTAAACAAAAAATCTTAAAGATCGTGTGCCTTAAATCTGCAAAAAATGATGGATATAGTGGAGGAGGTTATATATGATATAAGCTGAGGGTTAGGCTAGGTTTCTTCTACAGGAACAAGTCCTGTTTCTCGCTTGAGGCCAGGAAAAGGCTCTGTGACCTTTTGACCTGTGCTGGACTATGGTGATCTGATGTATATGAATGCACCTGCCTATTGCCTGGTCAAGTTAGATGCTGCGTATCACAGTGCACTGAGATGTGTGACAAAGTGTAAAGCATGAACCCATCACTGTACCCTGTATGCAAGGGCTGGTCTTGTCTTTCACTAACTGTACGGAGGCTCACGTCACGTGGTACAC